GCTTTCATGCCATATCATGGTACCAGACAAAACTATAGCAGGGTTAGTAGAGAAGGAAGCAGGGGAGGTCAATGATAAATAGTGATGCAGTTGTGACGTTGAATCATCACAGATAACAATGGAATAAACGTGCTAACGTACACTTTATTATCATCAACTTCAACGACTTGTGATGATCGTGAGCACGATGGTGGCCTAGTTCATAGTGAGTTGAGTTGCGGTATTATGAATTGTTTTTTTTTCTAACTTCGTTGAAAATGTAATGCCAATAGCCGAAATGATCACAAGAAAGTTTCTGCGTTAAAAGACACTGGTGTCGATACTGGCATGATTCTCTAAACTTAAAACTAAATTTAACTTCAGTTTCAGTCATGATGACAACTACGACAGGATATATATACACTTAATTTTAGGTTTAGTTCATAACAGAATCGACATTACTACCTTAAAATAAAACCTACAATAAATGAGAATACTGTAGCTTTTATAAATTTACAATCTCGCAAGGGATGCATGTTGTGTATGAAGTTATAAAGATAAAAACAGAACTGTTTTGTCACAGAATAGGTTTTAAAAAAGTTTACGAATATTGACCACAGCAGTGGTGGATTTCTTTTAGAGCGGTTCAAATTGAAGGTAAAATTATTTGAGTTTAATATAAAAATTCATGCTTCCAAAACCCATACACATATATTTCGACATCACGGCATTGACGAGTTAACACGCACCTATAACTAACTCACGAGCATGGGAATCGGAACTCGAGCGCTTACAACATACATATATCTGACTGACACCACTCATTAAAAAGACAACTTTGGCCCACTTATATCATCACGATTTTCATGTGAAAACTAAGACCGCGTGTCAAAACTTACTACTTATTGTTTTATTTATAGTGTACTTACTTAATGAAATATTTTTTTTTTATATTTATAACTAGCTAGGATGCAATGAAAAAGTATTATGTAGTTACTTAGCCACAGCGGTTTTTGACAAGACATCATCATTAGCCTATTAATGTCCCCACTGCTGGGGCACAGGCCTTCCCTATGGATGGAATAGGGAGATTGGGTCATAGTCCCTCCACGCGGGCCCAGTGCTGATTGGTGGGTGCTAACGACTGCAGATGCAGCCGGGACCAACGGCTTAACGAGCCACCTGAAGCACAGAGGAACTCTAGATAGAAGAGTTTTGGTCACCCATCCAATGACCAAACACTGCGAAAGTTGCTTAACTTCAACGATCGCAGCCGAACGCGCTAACCATCCGCGCCATCGAGCTCCTCTCGTCAAAAAGACATAAGACTAACTAACTATCTATGCAAAAAGTGGCAATAAGCACTAAAAAATACAAACGCACTTTTCCGCGTTGAGTTAACACAGACTTAATTTTTAAAATTGGAACGACTCGTGCGCACTTCCTCCCTCTGTTTGTTTGATACCAGGTAAGTACAACAAAACAAGAAGCCGAACAGACAAACAAAAATAGACTCTTTCCCTACCTGTTAAAGCGCTAAAGACGGGATTCTTGAATACGCAAACGCATCCGCTGGCGAAACCCTGATAAAGAACATTGCCTCATTCCGCGCACGTAGGCTATAATGTTAATATGGCGTAATCCGTAGAAAGTCGGCTGGACTTATGGTAAGGTGCCACATATCAATTGTAATTAGAGCTACCGAAAATGCAACTACTGATGGATGTGTTGAGTCTTAACTATAATGACATAGAGGCGATTATGAAACGAAACAACAAAGTGGGATTACGAAGAAGCATAAATATAAACAACTCGTAAAAATGCCAACCAACTAATGCAAAATGTAATTCACCCGTAAAGAAATAGTTAAACTTTATTATAATGAGAACTGCGTATAGCCTGACAAACGTAGTTGATTGGGAGATTTCGTCATTTGTCGGGAGTCACATGATAATTAGGAAGAATCTAGACGATTCTCAACTGGCAGCCCTGTAATGTCGTGGTTACTTCCGCAAGCAAGTACTCCAATTTGGACAAAAAATCTGGTGCGATATCGTAACTCTCTTAAATTAGTAGAGTTAAAGCTTAAGTTGCCAACGAAATTCTTATGATTCTATGACCTAACAATAATACTGAGATCAAAACACAAGTCGTGTCTAACTGTAGTTTTTAGGGATCTGTATCTATGGTTATTTGTTTGTAATAAATGTCAATTAAGTAACAATTGTGTGCAAAATCTTCACAATTAATTGTTAATATTATATTAAACACAAGTAGAGTATAAACGGGAGTAAGTAGTTTTTTTTTTAAATATGAGTCTCTTAGTTTTATTCGTCGTCAATTTAGTAAAATTTATTAATGCAACACGTCTATTTGACGTCGGATTCCCTCTTAGGTACCGTAACTTTTTTTTATTGTTAGCAGTTTAAAGTATTTTGGTAACTAATAAAATCCCGGAAATTATTTATCTGGAATGGGTCATTGAAATTCTGTCATCCATCCGTCCGTCTGCCAGCGGGTTGTATCTTTTGATTTTAATACACAAACAGTTCGAAATTTGACAAAAAAATTAATAACATTTAAATTAAAGTTTAAGGAACCTCCCACATAAGAATCATCTGTTCGTCGATGTTTATTCATCTTAGTGTTAAATCTTTTACAATAGTACGGAACCCTTGCAAATCCTACACGCACTTGGCCGGCCTTTTTTTGCTTACGATCGGAACTGAGCATCTCAAGATTAACATCCACCATCCGGCAACTTTCAAGAGCCGGAAACTCTCGTAACTTGATGAAAAAAATGCAACAAGGGATCTTATTCATCTCATCTCAATAAAATCTCTAAACGTACCTTCTAGAGGTGTAGGAACAGCGTGTATCCCGGTGTTTTATAAGCAGTTAATAATGTTGATTACAAGACCTAATAATTTATACTTTTTATATAAATGCTTCTAAAAATTTGCAAATTTTGGGACTTTTATACTCGTAGTCCCATAACTTTAGTATCATCCGCTATTGATAAATTCGCTGAAAATTTTATCTTTATAATTTCAAATTTTTAAGAGTTGGCGCTTTTATTATAATAAAAAATGACAATCAACAAATGTATTGCAATGTTGACCACTTGTCATTGTCGTAACATTTGAAAAATAATGATCTAAAAATTATATAGGTACGTATATATTAAAAGTATATTACTACTTATGTGCTATTAAAATGTTTGATTTTTTATTACTGCCTTTCACTTTTTGGGAATAATTTCCCTTAACAATTCAAAATTTCTCCTTAAATTTATAAATACTTATAAATTTTATAATTCGATTCATCTCATACCATCTCATCTGCCAGCACTTTATCTACAACAGCTTTACAAGATCATTAAGTTCAACACCCAAAATGTCAATAATCCTATTTCCAGTTATTGCATCTATGAAATTCGTTAACACTAATAAAAAATCTTCATATTTTATATCCACGTTGAAGGCATTCGTGGTTTCTACTTTATAACTGTCTAAGAACCGTTTTATGTCATGGCTAACAGAGTCTTTAATAAAAACGCTTATTAGAGAGGTTTATTTTTCAATGTTGTTTATTGCGTTTAGGATTAGATAAGTTGCTATTTCTCAAGTTATTTAATCAATTCTTTTTCATTTTTATACAAATACTATATATATACTGAAAACTTTGAAAATTATATTTGCGCTTGAATTTGTTTTGAATCTAGTATTTTCTTGTATATGACAGCTTTATATTGACAGTGAAACATATAATAATTATGATCAAAATTTTCAGCTCAATATCATTTAATAGTACTGAAGAAGTTAATTTCAAATTATATTTAAAAAAATATACAGGTATATATGAGAGTTAAATGAAAGAAAAAGCTCTTCACCTTATCAAAAGCTCATATGAAGACGATCATGACCTTCATATTGAGTTCTAATGCAGCTGTCTAAAGTAAATGTTTGGATAGAAAACACGGCGTCGACAACCTAGAAAAACAGTCTTAAATCAATAATGATTCATGGCAGCCCACATGGTTAGATTTGATAAAAAGCTTACATAATTGCTGCCGATATGTGATGAAATTAGTGTATTGGTCCGATGTTTAGATACCGTTGTCCATTGTATTCGAAATATTTGGAGTTTTAGCGCTTACTAAGCTTTGATTACAAAGTTTTGTAAACACGAATGAATAACATCTTCTTTGGTAGTAAATTATCACATTACTAATTTCAAAATTCAACCATGGTATTGTGGTTTGATTCATAAATCATTCATAAATCAAATCATGCATAAAAGTCAGATGATTCGGTGATTCAGATTTCGTAATCTTCAGAAATATAATTCATTTCCGACAGGTTTATAAAGTTATATTATTCCTAATCTACAAGCTTAATAAATATTGAAATATCATAGAATCAATAAAAATGACTGAATTTATTCTTGATAATAAACGATGCAAAGTTGGATTTTTTGTTTTTAATCTGTTAAGTCGTTTTTTTAACTTAGACTAAATTAATGACATAGACCGTGACATTATGAATATTTATAAAAAAGTAGTAACAACATTAAATAACAATAAATAGTAGCGGCGGCAACTAATGAATTTTATCGAATACAACTTATGATTCTTGTAGGTCAGCGATTACTTATGCACGTCGACCTGTCTGATAACGTCAACTTATATTTCATTGTAAATAACGACGTCATTATGTAACTGATTGATAATATTGTTGACATGTTTATCGCTACAGATAGAGTCACATTTAATTAAGTGGTATCTACAAAAACTGTCAACTCCCCTGAATCATCTCTGGTGACACTTTATAGATGAGTCAGGCATTTATGAATTCTGGCATTGACAAAAAATGCCTATAACGTTATTTCTTAATACTTATCCGATAACTTTCATCATCAGATAGATACCGGTAGCTTTATAACGTAACACGAACCACTATCACTCACAATCTAAAAGATAATACGTTTATTTGTGATAATATGTATTAAAAAATACAAACCTTTTAATGGAGATAATACTTAATGTGTTTTCACTCAAAACATCAACAGAGATCACTGTATTATGCACTGGTCTTGTGACTGACTTCACTTTATCACAAAAAGGATCTATTTAGAAGCGATCAATAAAGGATCTCGGAGAATCGAGCGTGCGGCAACCGCAATCGATGAGGATCAACTGACAGCAGACATCGTTAGAGCATGCGCCGGCGCAGCTATAACCGTGTCGCGTTTAGACGTACGCTTCTTGAAAGACTTTTGGTTCATCTAGCTACTATCCAATTCGTCGCATTGCTTTGTTTATCCACCGTGAAACTAAATGTATTTTTAGTTGATAGGAAGGGGCAGGTAACGTATATTTTAACAAACAGAAGGGACAAGGGTTGCTTATTGTGAAATTCTATATTAACTTTAAGAACAAAAAAGAATATCCTCATCCTCAGAGGTTTCAAAATATTCTAAAGGACATTGTGTTTACGCATTTCGAACGTTCTAACTAACAAAAGGTTTTCTTTGCAATTGTTATCTTCAAAGTACCAAGTACAAATGCAGATAGGTACTTTATTCCTTGTTTATTTATTTGAGATAACAAAGAATTGCATAAAGTGTTTCACGGAAAATAATATCGGTAAAAACCCTCTACATTTTCTATTAGCTCATAATAATTACATTTTATAGGCACTGTCAGCCGAAGGCGAATCTTTATAATATATGGACTTGCATACTTGTCGAACAGATCTAAAGCTGGACTAAAATATTGGCCGATGAAAAGCTGCATTAACATAATTATGCGCTAAACTTTTATCGAAAATCAAAGATCAGTTATTAATTGATGGAACACAAAAAATAATATAAAGCAAAACAAATAATGATTATAGCCTATCAATCAAATCTCAAAGAATTATTAAGCATGTTGTTTATGTCTATAAATACATATAACTTTATATACACAACAGACTGCATTGTATTTTTTACCCTTATTTAAAAACAAAAACGGATTCCTTCTTATATTAAGTTTGGATTGTTAAGTTACACAGTAAAGATGTACATATTTCATGACTCTACACTTAACTAACAAAAAGAAAACAATTGGATGCAAGAATGATACGACAGCGTAAAGCTTGTTTACATAAAGTGTAAGTCATTTTTAATCCCCCAAAAGATACCGCTTTCATTCTTAAAGCCACAGAAACCAACTCCTAAGTACAAACGACCAGATCTATCACAATACAAAGGTTATAATAACATATTTTTAGACCTTAAATTGAATTTTGGTGAAGGTAACCGGCAGACACTGTTACGAATACAGATTAAAAATCAAACGGAATGATATTAATTAAAAGCGATACGATGAAAATGGATTGTTCTAAATTTATGGATCGTTCGTCGTTCCATTTATATCAATAACATGGAACTGTGGACCGGTGTCAATGCGCTGACCATTAAAAGGAGCACTGACGTTTCCAATTTGGACGTAAACATCAAGTGTAATGGAATAAAAATAGAGAGAGATGAAAAAATAGATTTAAGTCGATGGTTGATAGAAAAATAGGTTAGATGATAAATAAGTGGAACATCATAAGATCCAATGAAACCTAAACTACGATCAACTATTGGTTGTAAGTAATTGCATCTGATACCAAAAGATAGTGACATGTTGCTATGAACTATCAATTAACTGCGTAGGCATGATATCAGTAGAATTCTCTGTAACCGAGGTAGGAAATAAGTGGCATAGCAGATTTTTTACTCGAATTCAATAGTCCGTCTGGGAAAGTAACCAGCACATTACAGAAGATCATGTGATGTTGCGTTCCTGTCCGTGAGTAAGGTTCCAGATCGGGGTGGGTCCGTTCGTGGACAAACACCTGGCGGGTGCGCGGCCATTCGGAAACGAGAGCCGCGACCACACCCGCCCTCTCGGCACGCACTAGGGGGACCGCGGTCCTCATAGTGCGTGTCGGGTGACGGTGCAGGAGTATTGTCTGGTTTTTAGTGGCCCTGTTCAGGGCGGGGTTAGGTAGGGCCCTGTTTATTTCATCCGGCCACAGGGCTAGCTGAAATAAACAGGGAAGAGACCCACATACCTTCTTGTCAGATGGTCCCCAGTGGTTGAAGTTGTTGAAGGATGCGTAATGCATTTAAGACACAGACACAAAAAAAAAGTGCTCCACGGGATAGGGGAGGCAACGGTACGAGTGATATTATTGGTATCGCAAGTGTCTATAGGTTATGGTGGCCGATTACTATCAGGCGGGCCACAGGCTTGTATGCCACCCGTTTAGCTTAAAAAAAACTGTTTGCTTTCTCATAGTTTCTTCCTTACTATACCGAAATTAAAATAGTACCAAATATTGACATAATGGCTGATTGAGAAATTAAATCGAATTGAATAGGCTTAAATGCTTACTTAATTATGCTCCGTGGTCAAGCGAATGATATTCTAGCATCTCTAACCGCCTCATTATATGGCTTTACAAACAAACAACAAACAAGAAATAGTTTTAAATGACATTCACGCCAATGGCGTGGGTCTAGTGCATGGAATTATCTTCATGAAGCACCTAATAAATGTTGTTTCTACGCCCACGAGAACAAAGGACGATATGAACATTTACAGTAGTCTGGTAACATTAAAAACACATTTGTGTCAATTTGGACGGAATTTGGGAGGGACAAGTTACCTTATACTTTCTTATCTACAGCCTTAATCTTATTCAGATATTTTAGCGTAGTAGTTTAGCGTTTTACTCTTACATTTTTATAGTAATAGTATATTGGTTTAAATTCACCGCTGTGACTTGGTCGACTGTTTTTTTTTTAATTTTTCTTGTTATATTTTTTTACTCAAACTAGCATCAACAGGTCTTTTCAGTATCAGGACGCGACATAACTATTTTAGTAGTTTATGTTCTGATCAAATAATTTTACAGAGACTAGTAGGTAGTTATCGAGTGAGTAATTAAATATTTTTATTATCACAAATGGCTCTGTATTATTATCTCTGTGGGAAAGTAAACAAAGTTAAATATTGCAGCTGGCTGCATATGATCATCGTCTTGCACCTATCCGCACTGGCCTTGCTTGGTAAATGGTTTTGTCTCACTATTTTCTATGTTTTTCTGTTAGCCTTCTAAGAGCCGCTGTCTTTTAATTATCTTTATTTTATATCCGCTATCTCTGGAAAGCGAAGTGTGCGGGTTCGAGTCCTGTCTGGAGGGATAAGGGAGAATAACTCTTTTGAACACTCGCCGTGGTATAGTCGGTAGAATGCGCTTAATAATGCCACATCGCGGCGTAATTGTAGAGACTCGAGTTTCTTAGTTACCTCTTCATCGCCAATGATGCGGGCAGTGCGCCGCTGCAACCTATCCAAGACATCGAGTAAGTATTTAGCGGAGCCATCCCATTTTATTTTAAAAAGGTGATGATCGTTGTCATGCGCCTTTGGTAAGCGGCCTCCATATCTTATTGACGCTTGCGATACCTGGTAGCACTGGAACCTTACACACCGACAAAAACACAACACCACAAGGTAGTGTTATTTTACTGTCATCTTTTGTAAGTGTATAGATGTTATTTTTATTAATTTGTTTAAAGACTCTAGATACTAAATCAATGCTGAACAATGATTTCTAGCCAAAATCAATTTCCTTTATTGAATAATTTATGCCATGTTATTTAAAATGTTATTAATAACATTCATTATACTTAATAGTTAGGTCAATAACAAATGCGCTGCGCGTGCTATTGATATTATTATAGAAAAGCGTGAATAAATGTTATGTGTGTACACGTGACATTAGCCAAGGGATGGATTTTAAAGAAGCGAATCAACAAATAAATTAAGCAGTCATTTTAAAGAAAACAAAATCTTTGTTAAACAGTTAAATTGTAAAGTAATTCTAATCTCGTTTTGTATTGAGATTTAAGAGGCTAAGCGACCTATGAAATTTCCCGTTAAGATTGTAGCGACCTAACCTACACCTTACAGAAATAAGGACCTGCCAGTCTACCAGTTAGTAAGGGGAATGAGAATTGCATTCAGCCTCCCTAGCATAAGCACCGCGATATGATATATAAACCGTTTTTATCACGCTCAACTGTTAAATTACTACGGAGTTTGACATTAAGACAGGATAAAAAAGGTGATTTTGGTGCCGATTCTGGCGTGATTCTCTAAACTTAAAACTAAATTTAACATCAGTCTCTCCTTTTCATTCTGTATAGAGAATGACAAGGATATACTGCTGTCAAATTTAAGTTTAGGTTTAGAGAATCATGCTATAATCGACACCATTAAGTACTTAAATTAAGGTGTTCATGCTACGGGGGCTGGTATCGTAAGTGTCTATACCACCTCTCCGCTACGGCGGGCGCTTACTATGAAGCGAGCCAAGCGCCTGCTTGTCATAACAATAATTGAGCGGAGTAAGGGATTTGAAATATGTTTGTTTTTTGTATTCCTTGCTTAAAATAAATATACCGGAATATTTGGCTAGTAAGTTAAAATGGAGGACTCGTGGTAGTAATTTGAGGGACACTGGCCTGCGCCTGTCTCTGCCTTTATTTAGAAATGCTGTTGCTAGGAAACGTTTTGTATTTGCCGCTTCGAAACTATGGAATGACTTGCCTCCTCCTTTGCGGCAAAGTCTTATAATATCCGAAAGCAGTTTTAAGCAAAGGTGTAAACGGTGGTTCCTTGAACAACAACACGAGGCGGCAAGTACAAAATATGGTGCTGTTTAATTGTTGTAGTAATTAAAACTAAATTATTGTCTCGACTTGCTTATATTATCCTTATTAATGTGTTTTTTAGAATATAATAATTGTGAGGTGGTGGCAGAATACTAGCGACAAGTCAAAACTTGACTGTCACATGCTGAGCCACACATACCTTTTTGTTTCAATTATTTACTGTCATTCTATTTGTGTATTGTACCAATTGTATGTTGAAACAAATAAATAATTTATTATTATTATTATTATTAATTGCTTTTTCCTCCAAAAAACCTTCATACATAAGACAATCCAAGTAATCTTCATATAAAGCTTAAGGACCCCTTGCACAAATATTCTTAATTAAAATAAAGGCTTCACTTAATCTTGTTTGACAAATTATTCTATCTGATTATTTGATGAGGTTTAGCAATGATCCCCTTTCAATTT